GGCGGGCCCATGTCGTGACCCAGCCAGCTACGGAGAGTTGCTGGGTAGGGGAGTGAGAGAGAGGACCCTTGTTGCAAGGGATCTTTGGGCAGGACAGGGCTTAGTTTTTAAATGTTTATTTTCACTTTTTTCACCCTACGAGTTGAATTTCTCTATTTTAAAGAATTCGCTAGTTCTAGCTGATTATTTGAGGTTGTAGTAAAACATAGCTTTGGAGGTTAGAAGGTGTGTTATGTGTTCAACTTGAAGAAAATAAGGGGAAGCTTCGCTCTGGGCCTTTGGCTGATGGAAGTGGTGCCACTGTGGATTTATTTTTCTGATTCTGTGGGAGAAAGGAAAAGTAGTTTTCAAGGTGCCTTTCTATAATTATTTTTTACTACATTTATAAAAGTCTCCTCCTTCCGGTCTGAATCAAAATAGTATGGTAGTAATGGAGGGTTAAGAACATGCAGGGAGTGAGAAGATGAGGTAATTACAGTAAACTAGCAATAAACAGAATTTTCTTACTCTTTGGTGTAAGATTCACATATTTGAGGGGCAGTAACTTTTCAGATGTAATGCAGAAATAACTGTGACTGTGTCCCAAAGATATTTTGGCCTGTGCAAGATTGCAAACTCTTTTTACCACAGCTTTTGCAACACAGAATCAGCATACCGTTCTCAACTACAGTGTTAGAGGGTGTCTGAGGTAAACTGGGCTGTGGAGGGCCCTAAGCCGGAGAGGCAGCAGCCGGGTGCCGTGTCCCGGCAGTCAGGGGGGTCACCCCGCTCTGAAACCCTTACCACTGGTCTTGCCCTCGCTGGTTTTTCAGGGGTGCTGCCTTGCTGCCATGTGTGGCCTCACCCCATATGGACTAATGGTTCTACTGTTCAGATTTCTTCCTTGGGCTGGGGCATATAGTTGGTTACCTCCTACATTAATGTTCAGTAGTGTCTGGTTCCTGAGAAGAGATGAGCAAGAGTTCTGGTTGCAGATACAATAATGAATGTGTGAAATGAAATGTTTTGTATATTGTGCGGTGTATTACTATATTTTCATACATACTCTCTAATGTTTACAAAAATTCGCTGTTTTCCTAGGTGTTTTTGCTGGTAACTATTTTAGCTTATTCAGAACTTGTGTTTCTCTGGCACTGTGCCGTGCAGAAATACTGTTAAGTTCAGGTGTTAAGTTCCCCCCCGCCCTTTTTCTGTTTCTCCCTCACTTCTGTGTTGTCTGAACTACAAATAAGAAGTGCTGGTGACTTTGCCTTTCGTTATACCCCAGAGTGGGGATTGCAGTGGTATTCTCACGGGGGCGAAAAGGGTGGCTGCAGGAAGGACCCAGTACCTTCTACTGGTGCTGCTGGACGCCTGATCTCCTGGTACATACAGCTGAAGCAAAAGCTCGGTGGTTTTCAACAAGCTGTTTTGCTGTACGTGAAGTAGAATAAAATGTGTTGACTTTGGGAGAGCCTGACAAAATAGCAGTTATATTATTGTAGCTATGACAGAACAGTTATTGCAGTGGTGGAAGATCTGTTCCTGGGTACTAAGTAATGGTTACCTTAATAGCAGATGGTGCTACTGATATAATACCAAATTTCATATGTTTTTCAAATTTGGGGAAAAAAAAAAGGGGAAATCTAAATTCACAAGTGTAATCAAATGAGCAAAATATTAATTACTTACACCAAAGTTAGTTTTTCATTGGCTTTAAAGCCCAATCAATTATTTTTAAAGCATGCAAATTTTAATGCAAGGGGATTTCTTTCATAGTTTTGGGTTGGTTTTTTCCCCACTTACTAATTAAACAAGAAATTTTGTGAGTAATATATAAAATGTTCCACTCAGCTACTACTGTTGCTATATTGTTAACATCTTATTTATTTAAACAGAGAAACCTCACTGAATATTTTGTTGCTGTGGATGTGAACAACATGCTGCAACTTTATGCCAGTATGTTGCATGAGAGACGAATCATTATTACCTCTAGCAAACTAAGCACTGTAAGTACTTCACACATCTCCTTTTAAGTAGAATATATTGAACATTTCACAAAATGACCTACAGACCTTTGTGGTTTTAGATATGTTCCATGTGTACTTATAAGACAATATCTACATACTTTTCTGATATATGGTTTTAGTCTGGCTCTTGAAGTACAAAAGTCTGATTTATATAAGACCTACTCAGATACATTAAGTCAGGTTAATTATTTTTCTTATCAGGAGATGAGAGTTCTCTAACTCTCCTGAGTTCATTTCTGTGCCTTCTAACCTAAAAAGAATTCTTAAGGGCTATTATAAGATCTTTATTATTCACTTGTGGCTTATTCCATTGGAGCTACTTGAAAGAAATCAAGGGTCCATAATAATAGCTGCTATCCTAACCTGGTAATAGGTAGATTCATCTTTGTTAGAGTGGTTTGGGAGTGCATACTGTAATAGCTCTGATTTGGAGCAGCTCTTCAGATGGATAATAATGTACAACTCAAAATAGCATTTTTTTTATTAAAGGTTTTAGGCTACTGCCCGCATTATTTTTTTTTCCCCTTTATGCCTGCTTAGACTGCTTAATAAAAGAATATTGTGCTTCATTTTGAAAGTATACTTAAATATTCAGATGTTATTTTGTTCTACTCTTCACAGAATCTTATGAGTTTTTAAAATATCCTATGTTTTGAAAATATTCCCAAGATTGATTTTGCATTAGTACAAGACTGTCACTTTATAACCAACTTTCATCATAGAGTGTATTTGTTATGCAGAGTCTTTAGCCTGTTAAGCACAGTCATTGAAAATACCTTTTTTTTTCAACAGTACTGCATAAAACCTTTTGTGTAATGTGCTTTCTTTTTTTTTTTTTTTGGCTTTGCTTTTGTTTAATATGGTGGAAAATCAATCTTTATGTTCATGAACACTGCTAGTTGTCCTACCAAATAAATGAACCATTATTTTCAAAATATAGGTACAAAGTTGGATATAGTACTAAAAGTTAATATTTTCAAAGACTTGCAGATGACAATTTCCAATATGTACATGTGCATGTAAGAGGTGGGAATTTTTGGATTATAAATAGTGGATAAAAAACCCCTTTAAATTCTTCTGAGTCAAAAGTAAATTGAAGATAGAGAAGATTCAGAATTGCCATGAAAGGCTGGCAGGTTTTGCAATTCTAGGTAGCAGTAGCAATTGTATCACTGACTTCTTATTGTTTTTAAAACACCACGGTGTTGGGTCCCTGAATCTGTGATCCCTGCTGCAGTTAGGGGAATGCACAAAGCCAGCACTTTACCAGTGGTTTGCAGAATATGGAGCAAAGTCAGTCCATGGTGATTGGAGAGTAAAGGAAACATAGGGTCATGGAAGCAGACACCACATGAAAAACTGAAAACCAGAAAAATAAACAGTGAATGAATATAAGCAATCTTTAAATTACTAGTCTAGGATATAGTTTTTAACCACCACTACTTTATCTTAGGAAATTTCCATATTCTATCACACTTCCACACACACCCCCCCGCCCTGCCCCCCTTCTCAAAATGGCTAGTGGAAGAATTGGGCCTTACAACACAGTAATAAGACCACCCAAATGGGCAAAGAGAATATGAAGGGAAAGCCCTTTCAAAGAACCTGGCTTAGTAGAAGTTCACATGATGTAGCAAAACTGTGGAATCTTTTTTTTTTTCCAGTTTGCAAAGCTGGGACCCAGCTTGCTATGTTAAAACAAAAAAAAAAGAAAAAAAAAAGAAAAAAAAAGAAAAAAAAAAAGAAAAAAAAAGGAAAAAAAAGAAAAAAAAAGAAAAAAAGAAAGAGAAAAAGAAAAAAAAAGAAAGAGAAAAAAAGAAAACAAAAGAAAAAAGAAAAAAAAAAAAACACCATAAAAAAGCCTCAGCTCCAATGATGCCCCGATCAAACTTCTTTTACTGCTCCAGTAGAGAGGAGATAGGAATCAAAATGGCAGCTCTGTGCCTGTGGAAGGTTCATTCTGCAGGTGGGCACGTGTCCGTCTGCTTAACATGATTTAGAATCGTACTCTCAGCCTCCATTTGGGTCCTCTTAAGACTTGTTTTTGTTAGGCTGAACATCTCAGCTGATCTCTGTTGCTGTGATATGACAAGACAAGAGGAAGTATCAGAATCACGCTGCGCTGATCTAGACCACCTTATTTCTATGTTCAGATTCCAAACTCTTTGCAAGTCATTACAGAACAACAGACATTATATGCTGGTTGTGAGAAACTTAAACTTTGTTCAAAATTCAGCTGTTTATTCCAAACCTTGTCATGAAGTAATAGTCATCTCAATTGAAAATATTTTAAGTCACTCTCCTGGAGTCTCCTAGGTATGAATAGCAGACATTTGTAGTGGCATTTGGACATCCTGAAGAATGTCTCCAAAATGTGAATGTAAATAGTAGATTGCAGGTCAAGTCCACAAAGAGATGGCATATCAATTTCACTGTCTTCTGGTTATTTTTTCAGTCTACTACCATTACTTGAGTCATAGCTAAATGAAATTATTGCCACATCATGTCTGATCCGCTTTTGATAGAGGACTGGGTTAATTTTCACTTGCACTACTGAGTTCTGATAAACAGAAGAAATAGACCTGGATTATCAGGAACTTCAGTGAGAGCTGCTACCTGTTAATTTCTTTCATAAACGGAATAAGACTGATATGAGGCTCACTTCTTTACAGAGCTATATAGTTTAAAAAAATAAATGAAACACTACTCAGTATCTCCTATAAGAATTTAATTGAATTGCCAAGAGTGATTAAATGGTTTTTTTTTTGGTAGAAGATATTTCTTCTTTAAAATGTTGGATTGCTTAATATAATACAAATAAGCAAATGGAGTGTATTTGGACGTTAGCATTTGCTAGCTTTGTGCTGTTTTACTATTGCGTACAAAATACAGCAAACTGTTACTTGGTGTTGCAAAGGTTGTGTTTTAATACTCCTAAATTACAGCTTGATACTTGAAAAGATTATTTGTTCAAAAATAGTGCTATCAAGTACAACTTTCTGTTAAGGGAGTTGTGCCTTATCTTTGGGGTTAACTGAATATCAAGTGTTTATGTCAGTTCATGAAGACTGGGTTGTGATGTCACCTTCGAGTTATCAGCTCTGTTTCGGTTCACTATCTCGGGGCAGTGACTGATAACAAAAGGCATAATTCAAGGCCTTGCTCACTTTCTCCTCTCCCTTCTTGTGGGGGGCCGGGAATGGAAAACTGCACTTAATTATGTACAGGGATTCTTTGTTTAGCATTTCTGCCTGATAAATTTCATGCTTTCATTATACTGAAATACAGGATCAGTCCTGTTACAGAAAAAGGGGGGAAAATGACACTATATTTAAAAAGAAGGTTTACTTTGGAATAAAAAACACAAAGAGAGAGGAAGGTTGCCTGTTTTAAACTGTTGAGTAGAGTTTTTAATTTAAAGGAAAAATGAAGAGAGAAGTACCATTTTATCCTGAGGGTGTGTTTCAATTGTCAGCTTATATTTTATTTCAGCAAAGCGGGCTTTGTTTTGTGTGCATCTTGATTTTTGCAATTGTTATGTATTCTTTGCATCTTTCTTTAAATTGATTTTCTGTGGGTTTACTCCCTTTAAAAACTCCTTTGCTGGAGATCTTTGTCTACTTGCCCTACCAATTACTACCAAGATGTAAGTGGAAACTTCCCACCACTCTTTTCTGGTGTAGCTTCTGGGTCATTATTTGTTCTAACTGTTGATTCTTTTATTAGCTTGACTTTCCAACCACTTTAATAATGTGATTATCACCAACCTCACAGCTTGCTTCAGGCTTAGTGTTAGAGTGAGATGGATTCAGCTAGCCTGAGGATTACGCTCTGTAAGATCTGTTTGTTGCAAAAATTACCATTTCTGGCTTTTGAACAGTAAACTATGAAAGAGAAACAAATCATATGGCTTTGGATTAAATGGAAGGATGAATGAAACAAAGGAATTGACCTATTCACAGAGGTGGCTGTTAGTTGTTTCACTTGAGCTGTAAAAGGAAGACCTTTCCTAAATGTCACGCTGTATGTTCTTACGCAGCACCGTTTTCTCACACGTCACTACATCTGCATGTATTCTTATTAGTTGCATGGAGCTGTATGAGTATTTCAGTGTGAATAATTTTTTAATTCAATCTTTCTATAAATTATTAAAGTGCTGGGGCTGGCTTTTCCAGGAAGGCTGAATAACAGCATTGATTTTATGCAAGCTGGAGGCAGGCCCTAGATGTTTCGGCCCCAAGTGCACCTGCTGTGGTAGTCTACCAGAACATCATACCACACTCTCATGTATTCAAAGCAAAGGAATAAATCATGATTTTACAACAGTGCATCAGTTGACTTATTGCTGTTTTGTGACCGGAGGTAGGAAGGATTGCTGTTTAAAGCCATGTCATCGGTTCTCAAGTCACTCAAGCATGAAAGCTTGTCATATGCCTCTGTAATTGTACCTCACCAGTCTTTTCCTAACTAGTCAGCTGGGGCTGTGCGTTTTGTCTCAAACACCCGGCTGGCCAGTGTCTGACAGGAGCTTTCTCATCATCCTGTCAGTAATATGCTAACTAGAGTGTAGCTTCTGCGGCCTACATTGGCAGGTGGAAGGGATGCTACACTTTAAAGCAAATGTCTAAACGTTATCTCCATTTTGACCAGTATTTGTTTCAGGTAATACAAGTCTGATGTGGCTGAGAGCATGGTGGTTACAAAGTTTTGCTTTGCGCTGGCTGTAGGTTTCTTTGGGGAAAAAAAGCAAACGTAGATGTCAATAAAAGAGACCAGGTTTTTTTTGTTTGTTTGTTTTGTTTCTGTTTTGATTTGTTGTTGTTATTGTAGTGGATGAGTACTGAATGTTAATTTACACGCATATATTTGTGGAATCACTTTTACTGTTGCCCATAGGCAAAGACAGCTTTCTGCAGTTGCCCTCAGTTGCTATAGTGAGTTGGACTGAGCAGTGGCTTCACATTCCTTGCCTCGTCAGC